ACAACAACAACAACAACAAAAACAACAACAACAGTTACAAAGGGAAAATTGGTCTGATCAGATGAAGGTACCGGAAAGAGATAATGGGAACGAACTTGATTCAGAATACGGAAAACAGCCAACGTATACAGGTCAATCCCAACGTCAGCAACAAACGTCATCTTATCAGACTTCTTCAGATTCATATCAGGTGCAAGGTCAAGGTAAGTAAAAAGTAACTATGTATAATGATAACTGTCATCAATGAATCTTCAAGAAAAATGTTTTAACTTAATTACTGTTCAAATTGTTCTTTTTTGTTGTTGTTGTTTGTTATTAACTTTATGATATGATTTGCTAGTGTTTATGAAAATAATCTCTCTTATTAATCTCTTAATTACTTCAAAAGATCAACATTTGCACTCGAATAACTTTGAGAATAAGTGGAAATGGTAAAAAGATGTGAAATTAATTAGAAGACATTTGAATTTAACGTGAATTTAATTCAGAATGCTAAATTTTTAGCACGTGACCTGCTGGAAATTTCAACAAATCCTACTAACACTGAACTGGAAATGAATCAAAGTGTAATCGATCAGTCAGTTAGGGAAGGAAATTGGCATCGTAGTGAGGTGCAACCGGATGCTGAACGTTTTCCGTTTGAAATGATTGTGGCTGCAGATCGCGTTCCGGATCGTCAGGATGCTCATTTTGCAGAAACAATAAGTGCCAGTCCATCATCATCATCAGTTGATGATGATGATCAAAAGAAGCAATTAGTTACCATTGAAGATTATGAAGATGAGAATTATGCATATGATCAACAAACTGAAAATGAAAATGGTAAGTTCACGTTTACGTTCACGTTCAAACGTGTGTCATTTTTTTTTTTTATTCATATATATTTTTAGTTTTACATTTCATTTTTAACTGTATAATAATCAACTATGACAGTTTAATTCTTACTACTTTAAATCTTACTGAATTTTTTTTTTCCTTTCGATTTTTTATATCAAATTTCTAATCTTAAAAATTCCAACAAAAATAAACAATTCAATATTTGTTTATTTAAGTATAAAATTTTACAAATTAAAAAAAAAAAGAGAGTATTTCCGAGGAATAATGCATTTATAATATATTAATGCATAATACTATAAATTCAAAAAAAAAAAAAAGAAATTAAATTTTAGAAGATCAAGGATCAACTTTTTCGAAACATATTCCAGCAGAATTTATTGAAGGACAATGGGCATTGACAATAGCTGTAGAACCTACTTTACCTTCCATATTTACTTCTCATTCAACCATCGATCAATCAATGAAAATCATTACAACAACAATGGAAACATTGAAAAAAAGAAAGGAATCAGATGCAGAAATGGATATGATAGAGATAATACCATCTAAATAAGATAAATAATCATTTGAAAATTTTAAATGGAAATGATAAGAGAATTACTCCCTCTATAAGCAATGATAAAATATAAGAATGATTAACTAATGATAGAACTATTAAATAAATTAGCTAAAGATAAAAAATATTATCAATGATTAAAGATTACATTGATAATTATAACTGATTAAAAACATTCAATAATACTATTAAATTAAAATTCTCCTATGAAATGCAGTAAAATTAGCTAAACAAATAAATGTTAAATTAATAGTAGAATTTTTATAATTTTAAAAATGTAATAGAAGTTTAACATATATTTTTGCATAGGATTAAAATTCAAAAATGAATAAACTCATTTCTAAGTTTAAAATTATTAAAGTATTTATAGAGAAAAGGATTAGTGATCAAGTTACAGGGTAACTTTAATGTATACTTTCACTTTTTAAATTCATTCTATAATTATTCGTACTGCCATTATTTATTTATTTTTTATCTGTTGGATTGTTCTGATGTACTGCCAAATTTAATTGTTTCAATTATATGCATTCATACCAAATATTTATAATATGAATCATTCATTAATATATTTGAAATAAAAATATAATAGCATATTGCATTTCTATATGCGTGAAAAATTTACAATTGACGTACGTGAAGCTTTTGACGAATTTAATTGATTGATTGATTGATTGATTGATTGAAAGATAAATTTATTGATCAGTTTGCTTAATAAATTTTTGGTAATGCATTGGTAAATGAATTACTGATTAAAATTGAAATAACTTGCTTAAAGTATTGTTATTATTAAAAGTGAGAAATAAAATAATAAAGTATATTCTTTTATTTAATATTCTAATTAAGTTCAAATTAAATGAGAATTTTAAACAAAAAATGGAATAAATTCAATTTCTAATATCATTTGATATATTATTGTTTTCATTAAGCAGTTGAGTAAGCACAATTGTGATAACTAAAAGAAAATTAATAAAAAAGGATGATGAATTACGTAGGTATTTTTTGTTAATTAATTTAAATTTGTGTCATCTAATTAGCATTCACTTCGGTTTCTTTCTTTCTTTCTCTCTCCCTCTCTCTCTCTCTCTCTTTCGCTCTTTTTTTTACTTTCATTTATTTGATCTTCACAATTATTTCAATAATTTGGTAAACTGAACTAAAAGCAAGAATAGTTCAATTGTCAAAGATAAGAATCAATAAATGATTAAAATTATAATAATTAACTGATAACAGTTGATTAACAGCAAAAATAACTTCAAAAATATATAAATTATCAATTCGATTCTTTTCTTTCTTTTTTTTTTGTATTAATGTAATTTTAATATTTATTGTTTTTTTGATAATGATAAATGTTTAAAATTAAAAAAAAATATTTATTGAGAATAATTTCTGAGAGAGAGAGAGAGAAAAGATTATCTTTTATCATTATTCTCTATTTCTACTGATTAATCTATCGATGATTTATGTTTCATTTTTTTTTATTTTTGATAATTTAAATTGATGACATATCTTTTGTAACAATAATTTAAATTAATGATATATCTTTTGTAATAATAATTAAAATTAAATGATATATCTTTTGTAATAATAATAATTAAAATTTTTACAGAGTATTGAAATGGATGAAGCAAAAGCATCGTTTGCACAAAAATTAGTGCAAAAGGAAATTAATATGAAAAATTATAATTTACAACAAATTGCTAAATTATTGAAGGAAACATTTGATAAGACATACGGTATTGGATGGCAATGTATTATTGGTAATAGCTTTGGTTGCTATATAACACATTTACCAAATTCTTTTCTATATTTTTCTGTTCAATATTTTTCTGTAATACTTTTTCAAACAAATTTAACCACCGCAATAGTTTAAATATTTTACATTTTTATAAAGGAATTTAAAAAAAAATAAAAAAAAAAAAACTACAACTTAAATAAAATAAAATTCATCATAAAAATGATAAAATTAAAAGTGAGTAGAATTTTCTTATCTAGAAAATCTTCTAATTTAAAGAAGAAAAAATTAGAAAATTAAAAGGTAATTAATATTAAATTTATACATAAATAAAATTAGCAAATTAGGAATAATTTAATAAAAATTACACAAGCCAATTTAAAGGAGAAATTTTAACACTTAAAAAGTTTTTTTTTTTTGTAGCGAAAGAATTTTTTTTTTTTTTTTGAGATGTAAACATAACTTTTAAAGATTCAAAAAAGCAATGGCACAAATATTTATGCTCCTTTTACAGTTATTATAATCGTATGAATAGAATTAATCATAACTTGTAAATTAATTTAAGCATAAATGAATATATAAATTACTTAATGTATGACATAAATAACTCCCAAATGAATTTAATAAGTAAATAAAAAATCTACTGAATAAATAAATAAGTAAATAAATAAATAAAATTTGGACTTAACTTTATGTTAATGGTTAAAAATAAACAGCAACAATAAGTAAAGCTAATACTTTAATAAATTCAGCTCATTTGAAGATGAATTTATCACTTAGAATATTTTAGTGCTTCAGAAGAATACTTCTCAAGTACTGCTCATTTCAAATCATTTAAAAAAAATCTTTTAAATTAATCATTTAAATTTCTCTTGAAACTTTAAAATGAATATGTTTAGTTTAATTTTCTTAAAATGCAAATTTTAAAGAGTGATTTAAAAAAAAAAATAATCAATAAGCAGTATGATGTCAATGCTTCAAGCAATCCGGAATGTAACAACCGATTTTATTCAATATTCAGGATAGGAAATTCGGTTGTAATTAGAGAACATTTTGTTTTTGCATTTATTTTGCATTTCTTTATGAATTTTATGCATTATCATAACTGCCGGATATATCAGTTACCCTAAATACTGAAAATTACATTAAAAAAAAAAAAATTATACCAATAAAAATTGTTTATTTTATTCTCATTCATTTAAGAAAAAAAAAAATTATTTAATTTCACTCAAATTTTCAAATTGAACAAATACATTTCAATTTATTTAATTCCAGAAATTTTTTCATACATTTAGAGATTTCATTTCATTTTTAATTTCCAGTCATTTTAAATTATTTTAACTTTTGTATGACTCAACATGTTTGGGAATGTAAAAGAAGGTTCACTTAAAGCTATCATTAATTCAAGAGCAACAGAGCAGCATGAAATTGACGAAAAATTCAAAAATTAAAAAAAAAACAATTTTTCAGATATTTGTATAAAAAAATATAAAGCAAAAAAAAGAAATACAAAAAGTAAATATTTACCATAATTAAAATTATTCTAGAATAGAATAAATAATGAACTCAGTAAAGTTTAATATTTTGAATTTCTTAATTTTTTTAAAAAAAAATTGCATTTTTTAATTATTTCCTAAAAAAAAAAAAATTAGAAAATGAAAAAGCAATTTAATTCATAGTTTCTTTTTTTTTCTTTTATGATAATCATTGAGGTTCATTTTTTTTTATTGTAAACAAACATAATAACTTTTTAAAATTCAAATTTGCAACATAATAATAACATGAATTACATTAAGTTACATTTATCAAATAAAAATAAAAATAAAAAAAAAAAAAAAAAAAACTAATATCAAATAAAATTAGACATTACTGAATTTAAGCTAAGCCTAAAAGAGTTAACAAATCTTCCGGTACACATCGACAATCATGAGTTAAATTATTACCAAAATTTTTGCATTTTCCCTTGCAAAGATTTAAACTGTCGATACATTTATGATCATTTGTATCATAGGAACATCCATTAGGCTAAAATTTTACAAATTTTCATTTTTTTTTTTTTTTTTATAAATCTATATTAATGATTGAAATTGAATTTTTTTATTTTATTTTATAAATCTATATTAATGATTGAAAATTGATGTATGAAAAGAATTTGTGATAGTTAAAAAGATCATTTCAGTAATCAATAATTTGTACCGAAATACTAATTAAATTAATAATTTGAAATATTTTTAGAATAAAAAAAAAAAAATAAATTCATAATTAAAATTACCACAAATCTATTCTTATCATTCAGAATATTAGCTCCTAATAATTTTGGTGTTAGACCGTTGCCATCCATTGTTGCTACTTCAGCATTATTTAACAAAATGCCATGATTCAGGAAATCTACCGGAATTCCGGTATTCTGACGTAACATTCTATCACTACGATCATATGGCATAAACACATGCGGCATTATTCCTGTATTAAAATAATTTATTATTAACTATCAAAATTAAGATAACATTTGAAAAAAATTCCCGCAAATTTTAAATTTAAAAAAAAAAAAAACTTAAATAAATTTAAAAAGCAAAAATTCACTAGGAAATTATCAATAAAATTACCAATATACGGTCTTGTATTGTAATTTTCCAATTGATAATTCGGATAGAGGCTCCATTGTCTGAAGCGCTGTTGACATGGCACTTCGGTCATCATGACATTCATACATCCACCACCGTATCCTAATCCAATATTTTAAAATTATAGAATTATGAGTAAACAATTTTTATTAAACTTAATCATATAAATATTTAATAAATGGAAAAAAAAAATTTTTTTTTTTTTGATTTAAATTATTTGCAAATTAGCTTATTCACAAAGTTATCAAAACAATTTAATTATAATTTAAAGATTTTGAAAAAGAAAATTTTTCTAATTTTTAATTCTCAAAAAAAAAAATGCTTATAGGATTTTTAAAATTGTTATTAAAAAAAAAAAAATGAAAATTAAAGGAGTAAACTGTATAAACCTTGATATGGATGTGAATTATAAAATGTATCATACATTTCATACGGTGGCCAAACTTGTCCAGCAATAGCTATTACTACTAATTTAATAATAGTAATAAAAAACAGCCTAGACGTATACATCTGAATTTTCACAATGAAACATTTAAAAATGCGCAAAGATCATTGTTAAAGATGGGAGGCGCAAAGGTTACCGAAAATTGGAGTTGAAAAGGAGGTAAATAGTTTTACATATGACCGATTTATGCCTACCTGACCAAATATTGAGAAATTTAAAATGCATTTATCCTCAAAAGAAATACTTAACGAAAAGATTAATGGAAAAAAAAAAAATTAGGTCAAAAAGACATTTTAGTTGATACAACTAAAATTTTCAAGGTTTCAAAGTTTATTTGCATAAAAACTTTTCGCCTAAATTTTAAATTTCACAAAAAAAAAAGAAAAAAAATTGAAATAAATAATAATTATCCTTCTTAGATTTTATTAATATACCGCTTGATAGCATTTACACATTAAATATATTTTAAAACGCTAATTAAATTATACGTTGATTCATAAATGGCGCAAATGTTTTAAAACGATGGAATTTAATTAAAAAAAAAAGTGAAATCTTCTTCAAAATTGTTTAAAGTAATAAATAAATTTTAATTGTTAATACTAAAATTAGCAATGAATGTAGTTGGATAAAATCTAACATTTAAATACTGACAATTTGTTTGTTATAAAGTTGTAAGTGACTGTCAACTTGTCATACTTTCATAAGTTCAATTTTATAATGGTTCAAGGTTAAAAACTTTTCATTATTCTTCCATATTTCAAAATTTTTCATTGACCTTGTCGTGAGGAAAAAAAAATGTAAATGTGGATGCATAATACAAATTTCATAGAATTTAAGTTTATTTTATAATTCATCGCGAATATACTTGTATTACATGTATAATCTATCTCTAAGTAATATTTTTTCTATTCAAACATTTAAATTATTAAATTATTAACAATAGCAATAAGTATTTAGAATGGTAAAAAATTAAAATGTAAAAAAAGAAATTTTTTTCTCAATCTAAAATTTGAATTATAATTAAAATATAAAAATAATAATACGTTATGAAAACCTTAAAATACCTTTTAAAAAGTATCTTTAATATTATCTGAATTAATTTCTTACATCAAACTTTATAATATCGTCTCCAATTATCTTTAATCATATTACAAAAATTTGTTTTTTTATATTAATACTAAATTATTATATTACATTGCTAAATGAAATTTTAGTTTTTTGTATAAAAAAAAAAACTTTTTTTTTTTAAAAATGAAACTTAAAATGTAAATATTATTAAACATTCAAAGTATGCAATTGGTCAGTTTCATTAAATAAAAAATAACGAATTCGAAAGAATACAGAAAGACTTTGTTTTGAAAAAATCGTTAAATGATTTGCTTCATCTACATAAAATGGTGGCACAGCACGAGGAAATCGTTTCATTAATATTTCACTATGATTTTTAGGTATAATATTATCCATGCAACCATGGCATATTAATACAGGAACATTAACATTTGATGCTCTATCGTAACTTAAAAATAATTAATTAATCATTGCTTTTTTAATTGAAAATTTTAATGGAATGAAACAAAAAGAATATAATAATAATAAAAGTATAATAATATATAATAATAAAGAATATAACTTCTTAAATATAATAATAAAAGACTATAATAACTTCTTAAATATATTTGGAAAAAAAAATGATAATATTTCAAATTTCATTTTTATTTTGTTTAAAATTAAATTTAAATTTGACAAGAAATTGAATTGTTGTTGAAAGAAAAAAGAAAATCTGACATGTTTGTAACATTCATAAATGTTATGTAAAATTCTAAAATTTCATATAATCATTAAAAGTTTTAGTGCAACTTTTTATCAGTTCTAATTTCAAATTTTAAATTTAAAAAAAAAAAAAAAACAAAAACAAAATTATACCTTAAAAATCGATCCATACAACATGTTCGATTAACTTTTGTATACAGTCTTAAGCCAGATGCAAGTGGCGCAATTAGTACTATTCCACAAAGATTTGGCGGATGTTTTGAAGCCATATAAATTGTTGGTACTGTACCAATACTATAGCCAAGTAATGCAATCTGCAAATTATTTAATTAATTATTCACTATCGTTTGGCTTATAATTCATTTAAATTATTATTATTATTTCATATTTGGATAATTTAATTGAAAATTAGATTATTAATTTATTCATACTAATTAGGCCTTTTACAATAAAATTATTTGCAAAATTCTAAAAATAATTCTAATTTCATTATGTTAACTTTTTCTTATTTACACTTTTACTCTTATTGATTCTATACTGACTAATCTTTAATTACATTTAATTTAATTCTGATAAAATTATCAGTTTTATCACATTCCGTAATTTTCCAAATTACTATATAAATCTAAACTATATAAATTTAAAAATTTCATAAAATGATTATTTAATGCGATGGCTTACTCGAACATTTGGTCCTTGTGATTCAGAAATATGTTTATAAGCAGCTTCAATGTCAGCATAAATATTTTTTTCGGATGGACTACCGGTGCTAATACCGTATCCGGAATAATCATAAGCATACACGATAGTTTTTAATAGTTTAGAAATATCCCTGAAAATATAACATGATTAAAATTTCTTTTAAATTCTTCAAATTTAGATGTTCTGGACAGTTAACATGAAATAGCTATATGTTCTGTATAACTGATCGATTAACATGAAACCAAAATTCAAATTCAAATTTAATTATTCGTTTTATTCTAATTAGACTTCTACTGAATTTGAAATTTTTTAAGTTTGAACCACAAATCTTTAATCGAAATTGTAAATTTGTCTATCATAGCTAAGATATTTTAGAATACGTAATATAATGAATAAATTATACGTTAAATTTCAAAAATATAAATGAATAATTTCTATTTCGACGATTTTTTTTAATATTTCTAATTTAATTTCATAAAATATTTAAAACAGAATCACTATGCTAACATTTAATTAATGAAAATTTACCTAAAATTTAATCCACGTGGGTGAAAATAACATCCTAAATCAGAGCTATTTGGTTGTGAAAATAATACTACCTAAAAAAAAAAAAATTTATATTTTAAAAAAGGCAAAAGAAAAAAGGTTATGCAACTTAAAATGAACTTCATTAAATGTGATTAAAATTTTAATTAATTAAAATGGAAGAAAAAAAACTACGACTAATTTTATATGATGGAAAAAAATTAATTTAATATTAATTTCCAACATTTTAACAGTGTATAAGTTAACAAAACATTGTAAAATGTTGTAATTGAAGAATTTTTTTTTTTTTTTTTTTTTCTTAATTTACTTTTTATTTTAATAATATCTGTAAAGATTGTAATATTTTAGAAATGTCATAGTTTACTAAAATTGCTTAAAACTTTAAAATGTTTTTGTAATATATTTACCAAATTTTTAGATTCATCATTTGATAAATTATTGCTAATCATTAAAATCGGTAAATGTGAGCCACGTCTTGTTTTAATTATTGAAGTTTCAATACCTTCCATTAAAATTGATGATCCATCAATGAGATTTTGCGTTTCAAATTTTAATGATGTAAATTTTAATGCCTAAAGAAAAAAAGAAGGAAGAAAACTTTAAGCTATGATTAGTAAAATAATTTTGTTTTAGGAAAAAAATTCAACTAACTTTTTTTTTTTATTAAAAGTTATTTTATTTTCATTTTAATTAATTCATTTTTTTTTAAATTGCAAATACCTTTTTAGCATTATTAATTAATATAAAATTGCCATGTATATCTTTTCCAGATAATACATATGTTTTTCCTCTTTTTAATGGATGAAATGCTAATTTTCGAATAACCATTTCTGGTATTGGTGGACAACAAAATATATAACATAATATACCAGTAAACTGGAAATAATAATAATAATTTAATTTTTAAAAATTTATAAATTTAAATAAGAAAAAAACAGTTTTTCAAATTAATTTTTGCAAAATGATTGAAAGAAAAAAAAAAAACCTTTAAAAGTAGGAGACATAATTGACAGCAATAACAACGACGTTTTTTTGATGCTTTCTTAATTCTCTCCGATTTTAAATCATTGAGTACAAGTTGATCATTTGATTGTAATTCCGCATGTCGCATACATTTCTCGAATTTGTCATCATTTTATTTAAAATTCTTAAAATTTAGCTAAAGCTACTAATAAGTTAAAATTTATTATTCGTTTATTAAATTATGATAAGTGTATAGTTTAATTTACATATGAATGATTTACTTATTTGATTTCACTTCAAATAAAACTGAAAATTATGATTATTTTACAATTTCCATATCATTTATCTATTTTTTTTCCTATATTTGATTTCAATTAAATAAAAAAAAAAGTGCTCAGATTCTAGGTAACGTATATTTTTGAAAAAAAAAAAAACTAGCGTACGTAAATTTCCATGCGCATTTTTTTACATTATTATTCTGTAAAAAAAGATTTTCCATTTTACAATAAATTTTTTTTTTTTTTTGACGTAAGTGATCAGATGAAATTATAGGTAATAATGTTAGTTTATTATCACATGTATATCATTTTTAGTTTCATTTCTTTTATAATACTCACAAAAAAAAAAAAAAAAAAGAAAAAGAAAAAGGTTACATCATTTTGTAAAATAAAAATTAATTAATTACAAATTTTTTCCATCCAAATAGCATTTTAATTTTTAAAAAATTTTTCTACTACTTTCTTTTTTCTCTGTGAAACAGCAAAACACGAAAGAAATTCTGAGAGAAATTTCCTTTCACTTCTATAAAAGTAATAAAATCAATTTTTCGTGATTTTGAACTTAATTAAAAATTTCAAATTTACAGATTTCAAATTTACCAAATTATCAGCATGATCAGAAATTAGCTCATTACTGGTAACAATTCCGGTTACACTTATCAATTCCTGATCTGAAATCTCGTCATTAGCGCTTGCAACAATGCTCATTTCACTTTTTAGCGCATTTATCGTCTCATCAATACATTGATTAGGAACAGAAAACAACCGATTATAGCAATGAATTTTATTGTTAATATGATTTTTTATTAATATTTAAAGCTTTTTTATTCAACAATTTCGATTTATTAATGTACAAATTGAATTAAAACAAAACAAAAAAAACAACAAAAACTTTTACACTATGATCATTGTCATCAAAGAAATGTTTAATGAAGAAATCACTGAAAGAGAAAATTAATTTTTCTCCATTGCTAATTTTCATTTTTCATTTCTATATCTCGTTTTGAATTTTTTTTTTTTTTCAGTAACACAAATACATACTCCAAAAAAAAACACTGCTCGATGACATTGATCATACAAAACAATGATTTAATCAAAAATCAAACTTAAATTATACACTTCAATTAATTAATTCAATTATTTAATAAAAAATGATACTATCTATTATCATATAATTCAACTATTTAATAAAATGACATTATCTATTATCATACTTATGATGGTATTTCAATCGAAATTATCGATCATTTTGCAAATAGTGCGAATCTGAACAAAGTGTAATAATTCATCTATAATAGCTAATGTTGCTGAATAAGATGTTTACGACGGTGACAAATTACCTTACGATTTGAAATTCTCTATGTAATAAATTATAAAGTAAAAAATCACAAATTGATCGCCGCATCCTTTACATCTTTTCTTTACATTTACCTGTACTGTAGTTAATTCATTCACATTCACATCTTCGTGATAAAAAAAAAAAGACGTTTAGATCTTATCAAAGTGACGAAAAATTTGCACTATTTGCTCAACTGCAACTTGTTTTATAATCTAAAAGCATGAAATAAATAAATAAATAAAACAACTGTAACTGCAAACATTTAGAATCTTTATAAAATACTCCATTAAACTTGGAAAATAGATATTAAAAAAATAAATAAAATAAAAAATAAACAAAGAGAATGATCCAAAAATAGTTAAGAAGGAGATATATAATGTGTAAATGAGCAAAAAAATAATGATAACAATCTATCCATAAGTTATATAAAATTCAATTCAACTTTAATATTCAAAGAAAAAAAAAACACTGAGTCAGGAATTAATCCGAAACTGTTTGTCTAACAGAGTAGTAAATAATTTTCAAATGAAATGAAAAATTAAAATTGTAATGCGATTGCAAGCGATGTAATAATGACAACTACTTATTATACACTATAAAATTCACAAAATTATTTTAGAATTCTTCAATGATTGCTTTGCATAACTATAAAGAAGAACATTGCATTAAAAATATTTGCTGCATTTTCAATTATTCTCAATACATACTCTCGATCTTCTCAATTAGAATAATTATCATTCCTATTTGCTGGTTTTCGAAATAGTTTTATCAATGATTTTGCTGTCTGTTAATAAATGATTCCCATGCAGCATCACGGTACCGCCTCACTTGAGTATTGATATCAGCTGCATCAGTAATTGCTCGTCCCACTATCACAATATCATTTCCATCTATACCTATTGCATTCTCAATTGTACGCCAATTTTGACCAACTCCATCACTCACTGCATCCATATGAACTCCTATATGACAGCAATCATTTTTTTTTTTCAAACTATCAATAAATATTCAAGAAAACAAAAAAAAAAAAAGAATAAAAAGAAAAAAAGATTTTCAACCAAAATCCAAAATTCTTACTTCTTTCCTCACACATTTTTTTATCTTATACAGTAAAAAATAATTTGAACGAATTTATTTAATAATTAAATATTTAATAGATCAAAGGTGAAAAGCAAATAAATCTTCAGAAAAAAAAATTGGTTATAGCAAAAATAGTCGTTTATTACTCAATACCTGCAGTCCAATAGAGAAAACCTGGTATATTAGCGCAACGTTTCTGACAAATGAATCCACTTACGATATCACGATTATTCTTGGCCAATTCCAATGCATCTGAAAAACAGATGAAATCAAGCACTGTTCATATTTTAATCTAAACTGGAATTCTAACATTAAAAATCTTACATCAGTCAAAAATTAAATTTAATATCCATTAAAAATAAACAGTAATTTTCCAGTTATATTGTTTCAAATAAATCATCTCTTTTTACTCATTACAAATTCTATTTTTGTTATTTGTGAAAAATTCAAGTAAAATTTCTCCGTCAAAAAGCATTGTAGCATTTTGTACTGCTCCAAACACACAAGAAAGGTAGGTAGGCATATTTAATTAAGTTAAATTTCCCAACCACAGTTATTACACCATTCGCCTACCATTCAAATATTGTTTCGATTTAGTGAAAGATCCAGAACTCATTTCTATAACCAACAAACAACCAGTAAGTTTTGTCTCTGGCTGATTAACAATCTGAAGAAAATATTTCGTAGTACTATGGTCTATTCTTCAACAGATACATATTTAAGTTCATACTGAAAATTCCACAAAGAATAAGAGCTATTAAATTTATAAAATGCATAAAATAAAAAGTGTATTAAATGACGACAAGAAGTGAAAGAAAAAAAAAAGTATTACATTTATCCTACCAAATTTAATAATAAAAACGAAATAGTTTACAACTAAGCAAAGAAGACAAAAAGACAAAAATTTCACCACGAAAAAAAAGCACTATTAAACATGTCTTCAAAGTTATGAAATCAAGGTTAAAAAGTTGAAAAAGAGATTTACTCCAAAAGAGATCCCATGCTTAAAATACTTAAAATATTTGGATTTAAGTATATATATATATGTCTAAAATAATCGATTTTCCGAAAAAAATGATATAAGTATTGTTTTTGGGCAAAATAAAATAAGTACAAACCTTTCTTACGACATTCAAGACAGGTTGACCAGAAAGAACATGTACAGTGACAATCTGTGCCCAAGATGCTATCTTGAATGGTCCTTTCGTAAGCTGCAAATTCGTCGTGTAGCCAGTATCAGCTAACTTTCTAGAAAATAAAAAGAATTGATTAGTTAATCTTTCATGCATTCTACATCAGAAAAACTTGTTAGATTAGAAACATTAAATATTCATAACTAAAACACTATAATATTTATTGCGCTAAAAGTGAAAAAAAAAAAAGAAAGAAGAGAAAGTTTTCACGTGACTTTAATAGGTGATATATACTTCTTTAATATATACTTACATTACCTCAAATTTTTCATGATAAAAAATTAAAAGCATTATTAAACCTGTCTTCAAAAATGATGAAATCCAGATTATTTGCCATCGATGTAAGTTTCTGCACAAAAGCATCACTGAAATCTTCAATCACATCAGCGTGAAGTTTTACGGCACAGATATAACCAGCAGTCTTTTCGATAACTTGTATAATCTCCTCGCATTTAGTGATGTCAATTGCTATACACAAACATGTTTTTTTCTGGAAATAAGAAATGCATTTTAAAAAATAATTATGTCTTTTTAAAGACAGCTTTCTTCACCCTCTTTATTGCTTTTTCTAAATAAAAGTGAAATATTACTGTTCTCTCAAAATTCCTGGATAGTGATTAAGTTGAAATGCTAAATCAGTCTATATGTCACACGTTTGCTTATCGTAAAATATTTCGAAATTTAGCGTCAATCATTACTCTTACTGGCAATAATAATGCAAAGAAAGCATTTTTTTTTAAAAATATAAAGTACAACCATCTTAAAAAGAAACTAGAAATAATTTGTTTACTAAAATTGAAAGTTTGAATAAATGAACCAAATAAAAAAACAAGTATCAACCTTATTCATTATTTCCAATAATTTTTTATTTAATGTATTTGGTGTAGAGTTTTTCCGTGATGTTAAAGACCAGTCATCATTGTACTGTACTTTTTCAATCGATTGCGGTGGGAGTGTTAATTGATACAGTATATTTTCCTTCATTTTTTTGGTAATCGTACCAATATCGATCAGGAAATCAAGCACTTTATTCATTCCCAGTATACTGCAATATAAAGAATGAATTCTCTAAAAGTTACACAACGCAAACATTACAATGTTTCCCTTTCCCATCTGTTTGTGTTAAACAAGGTGAAAGAAAACTAAATAATACCGCAAATTTCCGTTCTATGATGCTGAAACATTAAAATTTAAATCAGTTTTCATTTCTAGTTCCAATACTAAAAAACCAGCTGAATAAAGGCAGCTAAATTAACTG